ACAGAGGTTGAGGAGGCAGACGGGGGGGGGGGGTTGAGGAGGCAGACGGGGGGGGGAGTGGAGGGAGCAGACGGTGTGGGGGGGGCAGGGGCTGAGCGGGGCAGCAGCCCCTTTCAGTCTCTCCCAGCCCCGCGCGGCGTCGGCGTCGCCCTCTCCGCCTCCACTGCTAGACTTCACCTTCCTCACCCCCGCGGGGGAGGAGGAGGGAGGAGGAGCGTCTGGAGCAGCAGACGAGCCAGCCCGTCTGGCTGAAGAAAGGGGGAAGGAAGGAGGAGAGTTGAAGGCAGGGCAAAAGGAGGGGGAATTCCGCCCGCGAAAGCAGCCTCCCGCCCGGCGTAAAAGAGAGGAAGGGGAGAGAGGCTTTCTGGAGGATTGTGGGGGGGGGGGGCTTTGAAGCTCCTTAGTTTCAGCAAAGGATATTTGCGGGGGATGCAAACTCCGGGACCCCAAGAATTGGGTCAGGGACAAAGGAGGAGTTTCCTCGCTTTTTTCAGGCAGGTTATTATTATATTTTGGGGAGTGGGGGTGTTATGAGAGGAGCGACGACCACAGTCACACACACTGGAAGCCCTCACGTTGCGTTTTCAGGTAATCTTATTCAGGTGAACTGAATGTCTGCTTGGGGAAGTTTTGCTCCTCTTTTTGGCGTGTCTGTCGGATTCAAGGATTCCAGGCGGAGTATATAGGGTGTTTTTTTTTTGCAGTGGATCGGGCCCAACTTTTGTTCTTTTGGGGCAAAGGGGTAAACGGCAAACCTTAAGAAGTTGTGCCTCAACCGATCAGTTGTGGTTGTGATCTGCAGACTAAGTGTTAAGTCAGACTTTCGGGGAAGCTTTGCCTGCCATTTTCTAACTCTTGTTTTCATCGAAAAGAACTGCTGTCAGGAGGATATAGGTTAGGCTAAATGCCACTGGGGTGCGTGGGCTTCAGATATCTTTCTTAAGGTTACATAGATATGGACAAAGAGGGGGTTTGCTGAGGTTGTGGAAAATAAGCTCTGAATTATTTGAACGTCTTAGTTTCAAGAAATATTTTGTGTGAAATTGAGGTGGGTGTAACATGGGAACTTGTGTGGCAATTAATAAAGGGAGACATTTTTTTAATCTGAGGATTTTGCTGTTTTAATTTGAAAATAATGCAGTTTTTTTTTCGAGTGAGGATGAGAATATGACTAGTAAATAGGAAGTGCGGATGATTCTGCTGAGGAGTAAAATATGTTATTGTAGCATGCATTTGAAATTTAGACAAAGTATGTTGAATGTACATACACAGTCATAGGATAAGATTTACATTTTTCTACATTCATTAGTTGATGGGAGAGAGAGTGATTCTCTAGTGCTGAGGAGATAGGTTTTGAGAAATATGCTGAATAATAGAAAACTGGAAGAATATTGGCTGTGTTTTGTAATACAATCTGCATTGTTTAAAACTCATTATGTTTGAGTTGCTTTATGTAAAACAATAGTGACGGGGTTGTTTTGTTTTTGCACAACAACTGGTATACAACAGAAGTTTCCATAATACGCTCATCTAACTTTAGTTTTATGTTGATTTGAAAAGGCTGAAGTTGCTCTAAATATAGAGTAGTTATTTTAGTATTTGGACTGTAGTTTTAGTGTTTTTAACATACTAATAATTTTAGTGCTTTGAATTTTTTTTATTCTAATGATCATAATGTGCAACACAGAAATTAATTTTAAATATGAGTATGGTTGGAGTTATGAGTATGGTTGCCACCATCATTACTTTAAAAGATTGAAGTCTCTTTTCCAGATCCCTAGAAAACATTACTTAGGAATAATTTATGTAAAACATTTTAATTTATTTTCTAATTGTGCATGTAAGTGTAGAAGGCAATAAATGTAGCTCAGAGATAAACTGTGGAGTCTGGTACAGTTCCATATGAAAATGGGGAACTTCAGAAGTGTGCTTCTAGTTAGAGGAAGTTACAGCTTTGCAGCAAAATTAAAGATCTAGAGGAAAGGAAATATTTTTTAAAAGAAAACTGAGGAAATGTGGCACCATGTATGTGTTTATGAAATCAAGCACTAGTAATTAAGGGCTTTATGAAAGTGTAAAATATCTCATTGAGGAAGGAGAAAATTTAGCAAAAGCTTTCCTTGTATTCTACTTTCTTTCAAAATAAGTGTAGGAATCATGGTTATGTTAGTATCGGTATGTAGAGATAGAGGGGAATATTTCCCTCTAAAAACAGAAAAAGATGGTCAGATTATAGTGCAATCAAATTGCCTAAATTGTATTTTGAATGACACAGTTACAAGAACTGGAGGTCATTGGAATTTATGGATGTAGCTGTCCTTTTTGAGCATACATAGATGAATAAATGTAATAGGAAGTATGAGATTAGAAAGGAGAAATAAGGAATCCCCTACCCCCATCTGCAAGGGAGAAAATAGCATGTATAGGGAGAGGATTATCATGTACAAGGGAAAAAAGAGTTAAAACACATTTAGCTCTTTGCTGCTACTCTATTTTTTATGGCTGATTTGTGCTTTACAAATATTTTGGAAGACTGGTCATGGATCTTTTTTGCAAGATAACATTTGGATTCTAAGAGGTTACAGGCTTTGTATTAGTATGTTAATTAAATAGTTTCAAAGACATACCTAGAATCTTTATCTTTTAATCCAGAATCCTAAAATATAAATCATATTCACTCTGGAACCATTGCTGTGCAAGTATTTAATGTGCTTTAATCTCTGGGCCCAATATAGTAATATCCATTTAGGATGCATCCTATTATATTTGGAGTTTTTTTTTATTTATTTAACCAGGGTGAATTTGATTTAAATCAAGTCAGTTTAAATCACAATTTAAATCTTCTGACCCTGACAGTCCCAATATTGCTGAATATACAGGCTCATGCTACATAACTAAGCTCCGTTTCATGCTGAATAAATTAAATTATTAATGTATCTTAAATAGAAAACTATATTTAGATAGATTTTTTTACTCCAAAAACATTTTATTAAAATAAATTTGATAAAAATAAAAATAATCCAATGTATATAAACAAATCCAATTTAAATTTATTTTTTTTTAAAAAAACATCAATTTTTATCCACCCTGATTTTAAACTATTTCTAAATTTATTGTTTTTCTTTCCTTTGTTCAGATTCCTTTAATGGATAAATATATGTAAAATACTAGCTCTAGAAATTAATTTTGCTGAAGTCACAAACTTTCTTGTTCTGATTAAGGATTGTGGTTGGAACACTGGAATTTACAGTGACCTTTATTTATAGATGTGCTGCCCACCTCGTCAGATACGTATAGGTAGTGTTGAAACTAGGACAATGGTATCAGATTCCTTTTGGCTTTCTTTTAGAAGAACAAGTGTCATTCTTGCTCTTTTTCTGTCCAATAAACTCAAAGCATTGCTTATGATACTGGGAATATCAGAACTCTTTTACACAAAGCTACCTCCAACTAATCTCTCAGTCCAGTTTGAAATTGGTATGCCTTGAATGTGAGAACAGGTTCATTTGTGATTCAGGTTCAAATGGAAAGAAATATCCTTTATTTGTATAAAAATGGAAAATTTCAAAAGTAGAGTTTGTGTTAAATCAAAGTTTTATGTTGGATTATATCATTGGATCATTTTAAAACAAAGGTCTGAGCCAACTATTTTGATCTGATACTGAGTTGTACATTTTATATTGTCATTTTGAAAGAATATTGCATTAAATGTCAGAAATTTCATGTAATTCTCAAAAAGCCATATTAGTTTTTGCAACTAAGCTAACTGGAAATTGAGATGTGAATTAGCTACCTTTGTTGAAATTTCAAATTTACCTATTTCAAATTTAGCTATGGAAGCTCCACAGAAAAAAATCATCCTGGGACATCAATCAAAAGGGACTGTTGCTCAAGAAGATGGCAGCCCTCCATCAAAAAAAGCCATGACAGAAATCCATGTAAAGGATAAAATACACACAATGGTAAATAAGTTGCCAGTAATTAAGAAGGAACATTTGGATGAATGTGAAGAAAATCCTATAGATGACAGAGAAGAAGATGCCAAACCAAATATTGCTGCAGCATCAGAGCCTTTGAACTTAAATCCTGGTTTAAAACATACATTGGCACAGTTCCATTTAAGCAGTCAGAGTTCACTTGGTGGACCAGCAGCATTTTCTGCTCGACATTCACAAGAAAACATGTCATCTGTTTTTGTACCTCTTCCATCACCTCAGATTCTTCCTGGCCCATTGCTTGTCCCTTCAGATAGTTCTACAGAGTTGACTCAGACTTTACTGGAAGGGGAGTCTATAGCTTGTTTTAAAGTTGGAGGAGAAAAAAGACTTTGTTTGCCTCAAGTTTTGAATTCTGTCCTCAGAGACTATTCTCTACAGCAAATTAACACAGTGTGTGACGAACTTTACATCTATTGTTCTAGATGTAGTTCTGATCAGCTTCACATCTTAAAAGTTTTGGGGATTCTGCCCTTTAATGCTCCTTCTTGTGGACTTATCACTTTGACCGATGCTCAAAGATTATGCAATGCATTGTTGCGTCCTCGCACTTTTCTTCAAAATGGCAGCCTACTTCATGCTAAAAGTTCACTGGCCCAACTAAAGGAGACTGGAAGTGCCTTTGAAGTAGAACATGAATGCTTGGGCAAGTGTCAAGGTTTGTTTGCTCCACAGTTTTATCTTCAGCCAGATTCCCCATGTATCCAGTGTTCAGAATGCTATGGAATGTTTTCACCCCAAACCTTTGTGATGCATTCCCATCGATCTCCAGACAAGAGGACTTGTCACTGGGGCTTTGAGTCAGCCAAGTGGCACTGTTATCTTCACATTAATCAAAAATATTTAGGAACATCTGAGGAAAGAAATGTGAAGCAACTCTTAGAACAAATGAAAGAAAAATTTAGCACGAAGACTCAAAAAATACCCCAATCTAAGGTAAGTCTGTTTATAAAATATACTATTTGAATAGCTTAGTTGTAAAGATTGCTTTTACATGCATTAAGTGTATGCTTTATAGAGTTGTTTATGTTTTTGAAAAAAATTAAATTGCGACCACAGAACATGATAGCCAATCCTGGGAAAGTAATATGCTTCAAATACTGTACTTGAATTTCTGATGTATGTCTATGACAGGGGATAGAATTTTGTTGTAAAAATGTCTTAAATAATTTTGCTTCTGGTATAAAACTCAAATGCCTAAAATAATCACAAATTATGCATTGATAAAAGTAAAGTTGTAGCTCAGTCTCCATGTGCAGCAGTATGAAAAAAAGACACTCAGGAGTGTTTGGAGCAAGAGTTTTTATTTTTAAAAATAAGAGAGAACTAAAAAAAATAGAATCAAGAAGATTACAGGATTGGCTGTAAAAAGTCATAATACTGCAGACAGATCAAAATAGTTATTATCTAACTACGCTATTATCAAAAGTCAAACCAGACTTGATGGAATCTATCTAATCAATGGTATTCTTCTATGCCAGATACCATTTAGCCATGGCTCTAAGTAACTACAGCATTTGAAAATCACCATATTTCTCTCTATGTTGCTAAATTGTTTTTGTACTCATCATCCATCTCCATGTATAGCGTGAGTTTTTGCTGATTGACACTGCCTTAAAGGAACAATCAATTTGATTCAGGATTGGCTAATTTATTTTTCTTGTGATCCATGTTATTATTAATAAGCATCTTCAGAGGCATAATTCAGAGGCATCTATCTTTATCTTGGTTTTGATTCCCAGCTTTCACAGCTATACATTATTACTGAAGAGATCATTGCTTTCATTATAGTGATACCAGAAAGACCAATGTTTTATACTATAATGATTTTGTTGAGAAATATCTTTAGTCTTCATAGTCTTATTTATGTTTGTAATTGTGTCCCTACAATTAATTCCTTCTCTATTTCTTAAATGGACAGTCTAGTCCTGTAATTTATTAAGCCTCTCTGTCCAGTTCCCCACTCCCCCCTTACTCACTTCTTGGTTGTCAATTGTAAGTTCACAAAGCACACTGGTTGGCATTACCTTTTAATATTTAACATTAACCCGAGTTTATACTTTCAAGTTTACTTACATAATGAGCTTTTCTAACATTAAGCTACAAAGTGGTGATTTCTGGATATGTTTGACCATCAGTTTTTAGCCTGTAATTTCCAATCCTGCCATTCTTAACAATATTCACTGAAAACATTTAATAGGCCTGCAGGTAATGTCCTCCCTTGACTGTCTTTGTTTCCTGTTTTGAAATATTTCTTAATTCTCTTTTTTTTGTTATTTTCATGTATAGTTTTATATGATTTAATTGAGATATCCAGTCCAAACCTTCCTGTAATTCAAGGTTTCTCCATTCATTCCATACTGTAGTCCATACATACATTTGTAGCAGTATGTCTTTTCTTGAAGTTGCATTTAGTATCTTTTGCAATTTCTCATAGAATTTTAGAGTCTTACCTATTATAAATAACCTAACCACTGCAGTTACAAGTTCAAATACTTGTGTAACTGATATTCACTAATTCTACCATAATAGACATAATTATGTTAGTTATTTAGATAAAGCCAAGCACATTTTTTAAAATCCCAGAGACATTTCCATTTTTGCATGGTCTAACAGCATAGATATTGTATCCTATTTTAAAGTGGCCCATTCAATCTATCTAAATTTCACCTATTTATAAATCTTCCAATTAGCATGCTTTATTTCACTTTGACAATTTCAGGTTTTTTGTTTTGTTTTTTGTTTTGCTTCCTTGCTTTCATATTCCATGTTCCAATTATATGCACGTTGATGAACTCTTCTTCTGATACTGGTCCGTTCTTTTCAACTTTGCCTTGGCCATTTTATCTTCAGGCTAATTGTTGAGCTGCCTATATATGGTTTTCTTTGCGATAATACAGAAATAGTTTGCCATTTAAAATATGTATTTTATAATTGCTAGATCTTATTGACCATAAATAAATCACTACGCCTTGATAGCCTCCATGTAAGTGGGTTAAAACTGAGATTGTAGACCTTCTAACTAAAATATACAACCTGCCACTACATTCTACTGTTGAGAAGTAGCTTGAAAAGCACAAGGAAATATGTGATAAAAATCTGCTTAATGTAGAATTTCTTAGAAACAAGGAACAACTAATTACCATGAGCCATGGTGGTGAAATGGTTAGAATGCAGTATTGTAGGTTAATTTTGCCAACTGGCACCAGTTTGATTCTCACAGGCTCAAGGTTGACTCAGCTTTCCATACTTCTGAGATCAGTAAAATTACCCAGATTATTGGGGGCCATATGCTGACACTCTAAACAGCTTAGAAAAGTCTGTAAAGCACTGTGAAGCAGTATATAAATCTCATTGCTATTGCTATAAGAGGTACAGAAGACCATGAGTTCTAATCCGACTTTAGGCACACAGCCAGATCTGAGTGACCTTGCACTAGTCTGGGAGCCCTAGGAAGGAGACAATACAAATCACTTCTGAAATCTTGCCAAGAAAGCTACAGGGTCTTGTTCAGGCAGTTGCTATAACCCCAAGGAACTCCACCCTCAATTATTAGCACTGCTAAAGCCTATATTCTGGGCAGCATGACAAAAAACAAAACAATACAATTGCTCATGAGACAAATCACAGTAACTGTCAATGATTCTTTAAAGACAGGAGGGGCATTTCTTAGGTCTTTCATGAAGAACATCTGTTTGGTCACATACATGTAAAAGGCTAAGCCACATCATTTTCTTTTTATCATCTACATGTACAAATCAACCTATTATAGCTTATCATTATGATGAAAACCTGTCACTCAAATTTTCTCAATAACATTGGGTTTGTGCTTTATAGGTTGTGTGAATGCAGCATATTTAACTATACCAGTCAAAGGCCTAATGGCTGCATTCACACAACATAGGGTATAGTTTTAATCTTAGAAAGTTGTGTGAATCCGGCTGTCTAATTAGTTACTATTTAAAGGATTAAGTGCATTTATAATATGGATTAATTCAGTAATCAGGTGAAGCATGTTTGTAAACCTAGCCATTTTATATCCCTGATCCCTGAACAATTCAAAATTTTCCTGGGATATGCCAAAGATGCAGGAGAATCATCTATGTTTTTCTTCATAGACAATTAGGAAGGAGACTGCTGGAAAATGCCAAGATCATGCCTTAGTTTATTCACTTAGAATATTAAGGTTTTTGAGAAGGAAAATTTGCTCCAGAGAGGATTCCATTTTCAGTAGCATTGATTTCCCAGTTATAGGACCAATTCATCCATGGACTAGTTTGCTTGTTTGCCTACACATTGGAAGGGTAAAGTAAAAATAAAATAACTAAAGCAGACAGAAGTAGGGTTCATTTAAGGCTACACATACAGGAGCAAATCCAGTCATGATATGATGACTGGCAGTAATATCATGTTTTAAATTAGTCTTGTACAGATCAGTTTTTAAGAGATTATTTGGTTAACTGTATGTAAATAGGATACAGCTCAGTTTATGGAAGTTGAAATTACATTTGTAAGCTTAACATGATTTATTTACTCATTAATGATGTAGCCAATTGAATTGTTTTGCATTCAGCTGCAGTACTATATTTGTCTAAAGTAATTACCTTTCATAATAGTATATACTAATAAATAATACTGAATAAATTAAATACCTTACATCGTAAGTCTTATAAATGACCTATCTTGTTTGATATATGAATAGCAGTGTATTTTAAAGCTATTGTGCTGAGTGTGTGTGTGTGTGTGTGTGTGTGTGTGTGTGTGTGTGTGTGTGTGTATGTAACCATTTGGAGCTTTCATAATACAGATCAAAAAAATGATTTTTAGAGAAAAGAACATTTTAATAAAAACAAACTTACAAGATGCTGATTTAATGACCTTGTAATGAACTAAAATATGGAATAAATATATATATATATATATATATATATATATATATATATATATATATATATATATATATATATATATATATATATACACACACACACACACATATACATATACATATACACACATACATACACACACACACACACACACACACAACCTTATGTATCTTATTTCAGACTTATAGAGCGTTTAAGGAATGATCTCTAGTTTTGATCTGAATTCCTTCTTAGGCTCATTATAAGACAATTGCTTATGTACATTAAAAATATATAGACAAGGTAAAGATTACCCTCGCATATACGTGCTAGTCATTGTGCTCATCACTGTTTCTAAGCCAAAGCCAAAGAGCCAGTGCTGTCTAATGACAATTCTGTGGTCATGTGGCCAGCATGACTAAACACCAAAGACACACTGAACACTGTTCCCTTCCCACCAAAGTGGTCCCTATTTTTCTACTTGCATTTTTACATGCTTTTGTTAGTTTGGCAGAAGCTGAAACAAGTAACAGGAACTCACTCTGTTACATGGTACTAGGGATTCGAACTGCCGACCTTCTGATTGACAAGTTCATTGTTTTAGCCATTGAGCCACTATGTCCCCAAAAATACAGCTGGCACAAAGGGTTGCAAATCACTTCTGTCAGTTGCTCCTATAGTTGCTTTTTGTCCTGAGAAACACACAGTGGCAGGGTGAGTGTGGGCCTCACCACCTGCCTGTCCTTGGAGCACTGCAGAACCCACTCACACTGCAGCACCTCTTCTGCATTAACATCACAATGCTCATTTGTGCTCACCCATTGCACTCATTTAATGCCCACCTCCCTGCTGCACTCGTGCCACAATGTCCATCCTGTCTCCTTACACTCCATAGTAGGTGTTAGCTGACTGGCCTGCTTGCAAGCCACCCAAGGAAAAGCTTGTAATTGGGGCTTGCTACTTCCTGCAGCTTCCCCATTGCCTTTGTTAGAACTTGGTAGGAAGTTGCAAATCTCAGTCATGTGAGCTCTCGCTTAATGATATATAGCCCCTCTTTTTGGCAACAGAGATTGCTGAGATTGCTATCACTATGTGATACAGTCATGTGATGCTACATTTTACAACTGCACCACTTAGCCAGGGAAATTCTGGTCCCTATTACGGTCATTAAATGAGGACTATATGGAGGGAATTGAGGCCACAGTATGTAGAGCCATTATATACATACTTATACATGCACTCGTGAACTAAGACAAGACATTCATTTCTGCCATAATTTCAAGCACTTTTTAAAAGTTAATTTACTTCGCCTCCTTTGTCAAAACAAATGTCATCAGAATTCAAAATAGTTTCCTCCTTTTAGTCTTAACTGCAGAACTGTAGCTTTGGCTCCCAAAATTAAAGTGGATTTAGAAATAGAATGCAAAATACGCAAGGTGTTTTTAAAAATAAAAACCTTCAATTGTTCCTATTATATATGCATTAACAGAAAGTGCAGAAACACTTTGCTGCTTCAGCAGTGCTTCTAACACTTCTGATTTGTTAACAGCAAAATAACAAGTGTTAAAATTCAGAGTACAGGGGAATCTTCACATTTTGAACATAAAAGAAAAAAACTAACTGGTCTATGATGTGGGTAGGGATACCCTTCTACTAGTATGAAATAGTCCTAATTCTGAAGAATTGTTGAAAAAGCATGAATGAGAGAATCGGAGCCATTCAAAAATAAAATACATTCTTTAAAATTATATAATAAAGATTTAAAAAAAAATAAAGTCAGGGGAAAGATTAGATATACTAGAAGTCAATTGCCTGCAAAAATTGGGAAGATGCTGCTCTTTGTAGTAGCATTCATATAACAGAACAAAATGAAGGCATATTTCTTTGCTCCTTTCTATTCATGGGAACATTTGATTCATGTGCAAAAACTTATTTGGAGCCAAATAAAAGTATTCATTAAATTAGAACTTAAGATCAAAGTCTAGTTGTTATAGTAATTAACTTTATTGTTAGCCTCCATCTTTAATTATTATTTTGAATTTTATTTACTATTTTTAATCAGGCTATTTCAAAGTGAAATTTGATAATGATGATAAATAGAAAGAAAACCTGCAAATAGAAATAAACAACTATGACAAAAGAAAGCAAAGGTAGTACCAATAGTAGTAGGCACGTTGAGTGTGCCACTTAGCATGATCAACATTGATAAATTCACTGTCAGTCAATTGCAAATGGTATCTTTGCTCAGAATAGCTTACACCATATGAAAATACATTTAACACAGTCAAACATCCACATCTGCCTATCTAAGTTCCTTGGAAGGACTTGATAAATGGAGAAATGTGCCAAATCCAGCCTGAACATTTAGTTGACTGCCAGAAAACAAAATAATAAAAACATTTGCCTATCCCAGATACCTGGGAAGAATTCAATATGCCAAATTCAGTCTAAATTTCTGGTTGACTGTGACCAACCACAATAACAATAATATGATAAACAGGAATACGAAATGAAACCAATTTGTTCTATACCAACTAGAACAGGGCTGTCTTCAAATGTTTATCTGGTTGCCTTAGATGGCAGACGTAATGGCATAATGACATAAAGTTAAATAAGTGGCTTGAGAAAGAGGTGGAACCATCTGCTTTCTCTAATAGGTTTGATAGACTTCTCCGCTGGTCCTACAAAAACCTATTTTCTCTCCTTTAGTTTTGAAATGTAGATGATTTGCTTTTAGCATAAAAACCAATGATCTAAAAGCATAAAAATAAAAACAATTTGTAAGGCTTCAAGAAAACACTGATTTTCTAAAAAGGTCTGTTTGAAAAGATAGGAATGAATGAATGAATGAATGAATGAATGAATGAATGAATGAATGAATGAATGAATAAGAGTTCCTAGATATATTAATTATCATATTTATTTAAAGCAGCTGCTCATCTTATAACAAACTCAACAATATAAGAACTATATTAAAACTATACAAACTGAATGCATTAAAAACAAAAAGCTGGCACCAAGTAATGCTTCCCATGTACAGTCAATTTTACCTATTATTGGATTGGTCACTCAACCAGTGTGCTTTTATTGTCTCATGTTGATTTTCTTGAATTGTTCCCTGTAAACTTTGATAAGCAGTTTTCTTAGGAATTGAGTGAATTTCCTGACAGTCACAATTCCATTTCTTAAATAGGCAATATTAAATAAAAAATATATTAATCAACCATTTTATTGATCAATAATTAATTGATGTTAAATTATCAAAATACTGCACAATTTCTTTTGACTGAAAAGGAAATACAGCATTCGTTTACAATCTTTACAAAAGCTGCTTATGGCTTCATTTACATTGTATTTGAGTAGGGAAAATGGAAACGATGCTATTTATATTTATGATTTTTTTTCTGTTACAAAATTGATTAAAAATTGCAATTGCTATTTGTTTTAAAGCTAGAATGGTATATAACAAACGTAAATATTTTTCCCTCCTTAGGCAGATTCCCATTATAATGTAGAATTTCAGCAGTGGTATCCAGTTATAAAGCAAGAAACAGATTCTACAGATCAGCCACATTCATTTATACATCCCAGGTAACATTCTTCTGTTAATAAAAATGATCAGAGAATCATATTTTAATTATTTCATGATCCATCTTATAAATAATTTCATAGTTTACCTGAGTTAAATTGATGTTTTACATAATTTAATTACACTTTCTGGGGTTGTATGGAGAATATGCCTTTTACATACTGTTGGATCTACATAAATTATGTAGAGCAAAGCATTATGTAATAGATGTACCTTTTGCACGGGATTTTTTTTCTTAATCCCAGAAAGTGTAATTAAATTATGTAAAACATCAATTTAACTATTGCCAGTATCTTTGCTAAGAACTAGTTCCACTCAAAACCTTAAACTTTCCTTTGGAGGACCTAGAAAACTTTTAGCGTTTCCCATCCTCTGATGCTATTTAATATCTGGGACATCTACTTTATTAGCATCAGAAGGACCAAATTGTTTTATTCAGATAAAAGATAGTGGCTCCTGGAACTTCCATTTGTATGTACAGCATCCTCAGGGTCTCTAATCTGTTGGTCTTTGAAGTTATGCACTTAATCTGATTTACATTTGTGTGAATTTGAGCTAAAAACGTTCCCCTGTTTTTCTGGAAATTAATTGCATAATACATTGAATCCTAAAGCTCCATTTTTGAGACCTCCTCTGTGATAGAACTTACATTAGTATGAAATGGTTGTCAGTGTCACATCATCAAAACTATGTAAGTAGGGAGGAGACTTTTCAAGTAGCTTGGAATAATTTATGTGAATCAATTAGTAGCTTGTTAATAATAGCTTTGTAGTGGTTGCTTTTCATTCTAGATGATGCTGCATTGAAAAAGAATAGCAAGTTCAGCCCATGTTCAAGATTATTTTAAGAATTTTAAAAAATGCTGTCTACTTTAGAAGTGCTATAGAACTATAGGGCACGGTGGCTTATCATTGTCAGAATCAAATGGAGCTATATTTTAATCACATGAAGAGTTAACTTGCTATGCAGCTTATTGAAACCATTTGAAGCTCTACTGTGCTGATGGACATGTCTGTACAGTGCTGATGTAGCAGTTAAAGTGTCATTTGAATTGTTCCTCAGCTAATTACACCAACATGTTCACGAAGTGCCGGAAGTTCTACTTGTTTTGAATGAGGTTTTACTTTTAAGAAAGCAGTAGAACCTTTGCATTAAATATTAAAGCAGCAACAGCATGTTCAGTAACAGAACCCAGGAAGATGTTTTCATTAGTGTCTATATGAAACAGCTTAGTGAGGTCATCTAACAATTTAGAATAAAATATTGTCTGTAAGGTGATGATACTCAATATACATCCAAGGTTGAGTAGGACTTACAGCAGAAGTCCTGGCCTGGTGGTTAAAGATTTTGAGGGTCAGGTTGGAACAAATATGGCCAAATTAAATTCAACAAGATACAGTGGCTGCTTATCTGAAAAACATTCTAACTCCACAGCGGCTGCACGATTGGCTTTTCCTGGAATTATACTTCGTTAGAAACAGATGGTCTGTGATCTACAGGTTCATGTACAGTTAAGCTCCTGCCTGAGTGAAACAGATGGAAGACCTTGCTTAGCTTTGGCTCCTGCATGAGATATGATTGTTTTTGGCACAGGATGCTCTGGTGGAAGTGAGGAGTCCTTGAGTTATGTACTGTGCTCTACTTGGAACTCTCTCTGAATACTGTTTGTAACCTACAATCTGTGCAGTGCCCCTCCTGCTGCACCGGTTCGCAGGAGGTTTCTCAGTATAAATCAGAGTATTAGTAATGACCTAGAAAGCCTTTATGACTTGGGTCTTCACCTTCAGGCTTTGTAAATGAAACCATTAACAACATGGAGTTCTGCAAAAGCCCTTTTGGTTACAAATGCCATCTGCTCTTTGATCTGCCCAGAATCTTTGAGCCGGCTACGCGGTTATAAAACAAGTACATTAAAATGCATTTGGAAGCTAATAAAATTGGGAGTATTAAAATACCTCTGAAAATTAAAATCGACTATTTCATTCATTTTGTTAATAGATCTTTGAGTATACTGCTGGCAGTATATTTTCTTTGTAATTGATTTGATAGTTCCTGTGCTACACAAAATAATGATTATCTACAACTACTGTGTAGCAGGCTGGGTATTAGAGAGTAATATTTTGTTTGTTTGCTTGTTTGTTCCATTGTTGGCTATATTGTGCTTGATTCAGTATGATTTAATTAATGTATATTCTAATAATTTTTTCAATTTTGTGGTTTCCAGCTATTTCTTTTACATGTGTGATAAAGTGGTTGCTCCCAATGTATCTCTTAGTACTAAAGAAACCACAAAAACGGTTGAAAAGATATCAGACGTATGTAAATCATTTCCCGGGCAATCACTGAAACAGCAGAATGGTAGCAAACGCAAAAAAAGCATCTTTTATCAGGACATTGCTCTTGAAGGACAAGAGAAGGTTGACTTAAAGCCCAGATCTGGAATTTGTGCTAGTATAGGTGAGTAAAAAATGAATTTGTTTCATAATAACAATAATAATAATGTTAATGGAATTACTGTTTTTGTAGAAAATCAACAAACTTTGTCTTCCTGATTTTTTGATTCTGTAGATCAACCCATACCCATGAAACCTGCAAACAGAAGGAAAACAGAACAGGTCAGTTCCAGGGAGACTACCGAAGATGAAATGGAAATAAGTAGTGAAGCACAATCCTCATCTCAGGCTCTTTCCAATGGTATTGGATCTGATGATGATAAAGGGAAAATGATGGAAGAAGTCATGAAAACGTATATTAAACAGCAAGAAAGGTTGCATACAATTTTGCAAAAGAAGCAGCATCTTCAAATGGTATGTGTGAACTTCATTTTATTTTTGTCTCGCTCCCAAATAGTGTCTTCCTTTTTTTTGTATCCATCCATATTAAGATGAAAGTTTATAATTATGAATAAAACAATGACAGGGTTAAAAAAAAAAACCTTTCCCTGTATTTCATTTAACATTTACTTATATTAAAGCTTGCTTTCACCTAAGAATGCTAATCTGAAAGTTGGACTTCAGCTATTATCAAACATAAGTGTTCTCCCGCTTAATGCTTTGCTGCAATACGCTGACCCATTTCAGTCATTCTTGCATTGATGGAACTTTCCCACTCTGGAGTGTATGCAGAGAATCCCCTTTTAACATCTGGGTCAAAAATGGGGTGACTGCTTTCATCTAGTACTTTGAAGAAGAAGGCCCCTTTGATTCAGTACTTTGCTAAACAGTGTTCTGATAAAACTCTGAGAGGGATCTTGGAATCCTAGTGGACAACCATTTAAATATGAGCCAGCAGTGTGCAGCAGCTGCCAAAAAAGCCAATACAGTTCTAGGCTGCATAAACAGAGGGATAGAATCAAGATCATGTGAAGTGTTAATGCCACTTTATAATGCCTTGGTAAGGCCACACTTGGAATACTGCATTCAGTTTTGGTCACCACGATGTAAAAAAATGATGTGGAGACTCTAGAAAGAGTGCAGAGAAGAGCAATAAAGATGATTAGGGCACTGGAGGCTAAACATATGAAGAATGGTTGCAGGAACTGGGTATGTTTAGTTTAATGAAAAGAAGGTCTAGGGGAGACATGATAACAGCGTTCCAATATCTCAGGGGTTGCCACAAAGAAGAGGGAGTCAAACTATTCTCCAAAGCAGAACAGGGCAGAACAAGAAACAATGAGTGGAAACTAATCAAGGAGAGAGGCAACTTAGAGCTAAAGAGAAATTTCCTGACAGTTAGAACAATTAATCAGCTTGCCTCCAGAAGTTGTGAATGCCCCAACACTGGAAGTCTTTAAGAAGATGTTGGATAGCCATTTTCTGAAATGGTATTGGGTTTCCTGCCTTGGCAAGGGACTGGATTAGAAGACCTCCAAGGTCCCTTCCAACTCTGCTATTGTATTGTATTGTAAAATCTTTGCTGAATCACACACATCCTTTTTGAAGATTGAAATTCCTAATAACATTTCGCATTACATTGGTACCTGTTATTTCTCCACTGGATAATGAGCAGAGGTTAACTGTGTTCCCTAAGGTTCCTATGATGAAAATTACTCCGTACTCACTATCTGGAAGAAGGATATCCAGGAAGTCATGAGACTTCCCTTTGGTGTTAGAAGATATAGTAGAAATAAAATTAGGGCAGTTTCAGATTGTTGTAAGTGTACATTTGTGATTAGCATTTTAATTGAATATAGAAGAAAATCCTTTACAGTATAAAATTTAAAGCTGTGAGGGAAAAACTTTCAACATTTCACACATTTTTTACTTATTTGAAACATTTTTCCCCAAAATATCTTAGAATGTGTTAATGGAGAATGTTGAAGTAGAAATGCAATACTGGTGAATAATTGATAAGAGTGTGTGTGTGTGCGCGCATGCATGTGTAATATATGTGTGTGCATGTATAGAGAGTATATATAGTATGTACACACGAATACATGCTTAACAACCACAATGAGTTACATTCCTGAGAGAAGAAAGCACAAGATGTGTATTTATACTAAGTCCTATTTCAAATGAAATAGAACCTGAAACTGAAATTCGAAGCATCATTTTTTTTGTAATTCTGTGTTTTGAAAACTTTCTATATAATTGTCATTTCTTCATAGGAAGTTGAAATGTTAAGTAGTTCCAAAGCCATGAAGGAGCTGACAGAAGAGCAACAAAATTTACAAAAAGAACTTGAATCTTTGCAGACTGAGCATGCTCAAAGAATGCAAGAGTTTTATGTTGAACAAAGAGATTTAGAGAAGAAGCTGGAGCAGGTAATAAAACAAAAATGTACCTGCGATTCCAGCTTGGAAAAGGACAAAGAAGCAGAATATGCAGCTCAGGTGAGCAGCAAAATTGAGTTTCATTTGGGCCATCTTTCTTTGAAACAAGTACTCCTCAATTTAGGATTATTGTTGGGACCAAAATTTCCATTGTAAGTCATTGTGGTCATAAATTGAGTGATCCAATCTTATGTTAGTTTTTACAGTAGCAAATCAAATAACCACAGTCATGAAGTGAATCGTGATCGTTAAGTCAAATTCAGCTCTTTTTTTTGCCAGAAATTGACAAAAATGGTTGAAAATCACAATCGTGTGACTGAAAAATGCTGCAACCAGTTGTTAATATGAGCTGGTTGACAAATGCCTGAATTGTGGTCACACGACTGTGAGGGTAATTCAACAGTCATAAATGTGAGTACATGTAATTTTTCATAAGGCTGTTGTAATTTCATTAAACAGTCGTAAACCGAAGATTACATGTAATGCTGGATTGCTGATAAAATATTCAAAATATACACTCTTGCTAGTTCTGCCCTTCAGGTGTCTGAAGATCATCTAACACATTGGAGCTCCATGCATTCAAGCATATGGATTGCAGCCTTATTTATCTTTAGAAACAGTTTCCTTATTTAGCACTAAAATATGCCTTACTTTTCTTATGCCTACACTATAATGTGTACAGACGAAATGCCATATATCTTTCACTTCCCTTACTGATTTGATTTTTCCTACATTATTTACAGTTTACTAACTCAAAAATAGCTATTTCCGTTCTTTCTATTCCATTCTTTAATGAATGTTTGGTTTTTCTGGAAATTTAGAAACCTCTATGTCAAAGAAGTAAGAATATTTTCACTTAAAATATTGCAATAGCGAAGTGGAAATAGAAAATGTAAAAAGAAATTTAAATTTGTAACATTTTTTGGTATATATTTGAACATATTTATGTTCCAGTCTGGTATTTTTTAATGCCATGATCACTGAAAGGTGCTCCATTTTGAAGCAGAATGAAATGTCTGCCTATCTCACCAGGATTAAGGAACAAGTGTATGATATGCCAGCTGTTCTAACTTGTCTTTACTTTTCAAACTTGCAGTTAGCAGAACTGAGGCAGAGGCTGGATCATGCAGAGGCCGATAGACAAGAGCTCCAAGATGAACTGAGACAGGAACGGGAAGCGAGACAGAAGTTAGAGAAGATGATCAAGGAATTAAAACTTCAGATTCAGAAATCTTCAAAAAATGGAAAAGGAAAATAAAATGCCATCCAGAGTGCACCTGCATTTTCTCAGCAAGGCTAAAAAAAAGTTTACCTGCCAAGGAGAGGTCAAGCCATGGAAAAGTGAAGGTATAGGGCACAATTATGGAAAATTTTTCCTGTGCATCTCACATCAGTAGCGGAGGTGTTTGGGAACTCACAAACATTTCTATGGTGATCTGCACAAGAAACGTTTTCAGTAGATTATGTCCAACATGTGCATAGAAATCTACAATAATATGTATATTTATACAACTTCCAGACTGACCAAATCTGTATTTGTGCTGCTTTTTTTATAGTTATGAGCAACATTGAAATTTTATGTTTTACAGTGGTCAGTATGTATCTGTTTATTTTACAAACTGTCTTGAGGACTCTTACTGAATGCAACATTCTTGATTCAAAGTTCACAGTATCTACCTTTTTGCATGCAATTCAAGAATCTAAAACTGAAAAAAAAGTAGTTTTATTTTTGCTTTGCTCCAATATTTCATTTCATGATTCTGTATCAAAGAGAAAACTGTTAATTGGAAATCATTAAACAGTGAAAACATCTTTAATTGCAGATTTTCATGTTGAACTTTTACACTAAATGTTAATTATTAATGGTTAAATAACCAGTTTTTAGTACTATACTGAGTGCTGTTTTGAAAAGGGGTTGCTGAAATTGAGTCTGAAATATTTTATTTATTCACTCTAGTGGGTTAGAATAACAATTTGATAGCTAGTAAGTATTTTCATATTTAATATTGTTCTTTGAGCATTTCTAAATACCAATAGGAGCTTTATAATGTCAGTCTTATTTTGTGAAGTAGCATTTTTAATTATCACATTACTTCAGGAGCAATAGCATTCCCACATACTATCTTTGAGTGCATGAAAATAGGTGAGCTTGTCATTTTAAAAAGTGTTACAAAGCCAGTAGGGAACAAATGGTGTCAGATATTGGGAAAGTATGCTTATTTTTTTTTAAAAAAGAATCAAGGCAAACCATTAACATTTTTCAAAAACAGCTCTGATATTAAAACTTCTATTTTTTTTGAAAATACTAAAATCTTAGTGTTTGACACTGGTGTGAGGAAGCATCTGGTGCTAAATCATAAGCCGTTCATTCCTGAATTTATATAATTGGAAGTCAGAAAGATAAATGAACGAAATGAATTTATGGATTTTCCCCCCTTAAAAATGTTGACCAATAAAATGTTTCATTGAACAAAGACTTAGTTGATGAAAAAATTGGAAAAGTATTGATTCTGGGAAGCAGTTTTGCATAGAACAGGAAATACATCTCTTGGCTGTACAGAAGAAAAGAAATAATATGGTTTTACATTGAATACAGATTGATAAGTTTTAATTGCTAAAATGTATTAAATATTTGCCAATTGTTGGTTATGCCTCCCTATTCAGATCATTATACATACCTAGCAACGTTACCTATTAGTCCCAAAAGTATTAACTTACTTTATCATAGATTTGTGTGACTGATGATACAAGAATGCTTGTGAGAAAATGTTCTGCAAAATTAATGGAAATGGGTCTTTGGAGCAGTAATTGAAGCAGCGGATTTGTTCATCAGATGGCTGTCTGCATTCCTGTCTGGAAACCAGTAGTGTACATAGATATACCACATATTTATGGGAAAGGATTAAACATATTTATGTATAAGGATTATTTCATTATTTCACATATAATTTCATACGGTTAGTCCTTGACTTACAACCGTTCATTTAGTGACCATTCGAAGTTACAACAGCACTGAAAAAAGTGACTTATTGTAGCGTCCCCATGGTCAGGGGATCAAAATCCAGGCGCTTGGCAACTGACCCATATTTATGACGGTTGCATCGTCCCTGGGTCACCTGATCACCTTTTTTGACCTCCTGACAAGCAGAGACGATGGGGAAGCCAGATTTACTTAACCATATTCCTAATTTAACAATTGCAGTGGCTCACTTAACAACTGTGGGAAGAAAAGTCGTAAGATGGGGCAAAATTCACTTACCTGTTTTGCTGAGAAATAGAAATTTTGGCCTCAATTGTGGTTGTAACTCAAGAACTACCTGTATTCATCAGTTTAAATTGATAGGGACAGATCATTCCATGAGATGTAGGGAAACGGAAAATGGGCTAAAAGGTTTTTTTTAAATAAAATAAATGACTAGCACTAAAACACTAAAAAAACACTCAGCTTTTCCCCAGCTCTATAAAAAATTCTACTTGTAGGTAAAATATTGTCATCTTCACAGCAGCACCTATAATAATCTGATTTTGAGGTCAATTCTGGTGGGTCAGTGGTTTATGCAGGCAAAGGAGAACCTTCAAAAATCCTACGCTCATAATCTTAAGACTAAAAATCAATTCTATGAATTAACCCTGCAAATTAATTGGAAGCCAATGGAAATGCTGCAGAATCATGGCAAGCCATAATGTAGTCACTATCAGCATGTTGTGCGATCCTAAGCACTAAAATCCATGGCAGCATGATATGAAAATTACAATAGATTTTGTGTGTGCTAGACAATTCAGCTATTTCAGTTGAAGCTGGCTGGAATGTTCCGATTCCTCAACTATAAAGCACATAATAATTCAATCATTTGCTGCTGTGTGGACCTTAATCTCCAAAGAATGTGCCTAACCACAACTGAAGTTCAAAGAGTACATTCCAATCAAGGTGCATGTAAACTTGTATTTCTTGGGTGAGCTTTTTGAAACAGGTGAATTCAAAATTTCCTGAGTCATTAAGTCTTCCAACAAATAAGGTGTTATCGCTTGTTCAGAAAGGTAACCAAGATAATCCGTTATGATACTTAAGTAAAATCCCTACAAAACACTCTTCACAGTTACAGTTACGCTGTCCTTTGAAATAGTGAGAGGCAGGAAGGGAAGTGACCATGTAGAAAATACTGTTTTGCTGTTTTATTATCTTTTCATGCTGTAAACCACTCTGTAAATGCCAACAACATGGCAATGGTCTGTAAATAATCCAAGATGATCACCCAAAGTATACGGCTATGGAATTGACCAGTTCTATAACCGTAAGAGCGCTCAAAAAAGCCATTTCACCAATTTACATAATTGGGTGCACACCTAAAAAAAATGTTGCCTACAATGGTAACAAATTAACAAACATAGCCACAATCAACCTTCCTGGGGGTGTAATATCTAGTGATTACAATTCATTCCAAAATCGCATGTGCTTAAAATGTTGAGCTGTACTCACTGGATATTGGAAATCTTGCTATAGTAGTCTGGTAAGATTATTTCAGTATTTTGTCATATGTTGACAAAACTGGTAGGATGAGTATCACAGTATTTTATCATACATTGCAGGCCAGTTTGGATACCATAAGTCACTATTTATCCAAGTTGTCTCATCTTAAAATACATTCTCATGTATAAATACATGAAATTGTACTTTTTATTGTTCACCAGTAATAGCACTAATTGCAGTGGTTCGTAGTTGTCAATAATTATCTAGATGGCTGAAGGTTCATGAAGACAAATATGCTTGACCAGAGCACGAAAGAAAAATAATGTATGAGTAGTTAATATTCAAGCAGCGACTTCCTTATACTCAGTATTGGAAGAATTCAAACACAACTAGTTCACTTAATAGAGTAGATCATATTTTTACTTTCGAAGAGACAGCTTTTTGAATTGAATGCAAGAGAAGGTTCACACTTACATATGGAAAAATAGGTTTTTAGAGTGTATTTTAGGATCTCTGCAATAGCTACTGTGTTGTTTTCTGGGTATGCACAGTGCAACAATGAAGCTGCAAAATTAAGTGTATTAAATGTGTGTGTAGTCCCAACAAATACTGGAGCTGAGCTTGTGAGGGCAATTCTAACTTTATTTTAGAAAAATAAGTTTATGGTTATAGTAAGGGGTAGTGGTGAAAGAAAGTGAGTAGATTTTAAATTATTATGTTTAAAAATGTGAGACCAAATCTGCACATTCATAATTAAAAAAAATAAATTAATATCTGTATACAATAATGTCAGCTTCTTTGCATATGTTTTTCTGTAGAAGTTAAGTGTGTACATAAAATTGTGCCATAAGTGTCCATAGTCAATAAAAGATAGTTTTATAGTAAACTGTACATAAGACATAGAGCAAGTAATTTCTTAACGTTCCTCGCTTGGCACAATGTACTTGATGAATAATTTATTCTATTACATATGCATCTTGATTTGATATAAGGATGCTCATTTTAAGAGAACAAATAATCCTGTCTGAATTTGCTATTTTAGTGTGCTTGTAATGTTAATTATTAAGTCACATATACATTGACCTTCTCTAAGACGTTTATTTCTGTTTTATTTCTTTCATGCTTTTCTCCAAGGCTGCTTTAAATCTGCAATTCAGAATTAACAGCAAGACTGCCAAAAAGGTCTTTAAAAGAAAAAGAAAAAAGTCAACATTCTTGTTTTTTTTAAAAAAAGGAAAGTTTTACTAGGAAGAATTTTAGCTCAGTAAGGAAATGAAGTTTAGTACCCCAATCTTTAAATAAACCAAAAATATTTGTAAATTCCTTAGGGCACAGTCTCAGCCATAAGTAACATTTCAGAATATAAATTATGCACATATATACCACAATATAAAATTATATGAGTATTTTAAAGAGTTTGAGGCATCTACATGCTTTACAGATAAGTCATCTTAGATAAAATCTTGATGTCTGGTAACTTACTTCAGTGTGATTCAGAAGTGGCTTGCCATTTCTACTATTGGAGATACTTTTTCAACTTCCAGTCTTTACAGAAATTTCATTATTTCCTAAGGGTATGTCAATTAAATGAAAAGTGTTATGGTATCTTAATGATAGCATATGTTTTAATGATGAGTCAAGTTTATGTTTAGGCCCACAAAACCTGAAAGCTAGAATTTGTATCTCAAAAGAATCAAGTTAATTTTCTAAAAAAAAGACCCTTTTAGTAGTAATGTTATTAAAAATTACAATTCCAATGATAAAAACTAATACAAACTAAAAAAAATTAAAAATCGATATAGAAAAAGGAAGAATATAGAAAAATGTGTATATGTATGAGACTTCTCTCTTCATTACAAATATAAGCAATTTTAATAACATACCTCTTAAAATACAACAAATGATCTCTTCTTCCCATATCCATCTTTTATCTATGATAAATCCTTTAAAAAACTCATCATTTCAGTCCTGATCATCAAAATTCCATTAACGGTTGCAAGAGAAACAACTTGTCTATTTAACCATGATAAATAGACCAACTTTATATTCCTTTCTTTTACTTTTAACAATCTTGATCGTTAGTCCCTTCAAATGTCCTAAAATTGATTTTAATTTTTTCTTTGTCTCCACACAAATTTTTCAAAGCTTTAACAAGATACTTTTGTAAATCCAACATAGAAAGATTATCCAACTCTTAGTTTGATATTTGTAGTTCCCCTTCAGTTATTAAGACATCAACCAATTTCCTTTATATATCTGGTGTAGCTTCTTTTTTCCCACTTTCAGATCAGTCTCAATCTTGTTCAATAAAATTTGTTCCTCTTTCATAACTTCTTTTAAACAA